AACGATCGCGGTGTACGGTAGGCAACAAGAGAGTTGCATAAGTGTGTTCTCTCTCGCCTCGATCTCGACCTTGACTTTGACTCTTGATTACGAGCACGATCACGACCAAGTAACGACGCCAGTCAACGACGAACGGTTTCGCAAGCCGTGTATAGTTGCTTAAGACCTAGCTTTGCTTGCTATTACATGGTTCTGCGGTATATTCTTTCTCTGTTTCTGCTCTGTATCTCTCTCTCTCTCTCGCTGATCGGACAGAACATGGAATCAGCTTTAAATGAATCTTGTCTAAACTAGTAACCAGGATATGTAGTTTAGAAATATTTGAAAGAAGTTAAAACAAAAAAACTGAAATTGAAAAATTGATATATTTTCATAAATATTCTTTGAAAATACTCTTTCGTTTAATTTCTAAATTATTTATATTTGAATTCAATGTAAATCAGATATTTATTTTTCTTTTGATGGAAACAAAATAAAAATTAAAGATGATCATGTTTTACTTCTCATTTTTTATTTCTTATTGTTCTGAACTTAGGATATTAAAATTTAAAAATTTTTTATTCTAAAGTATTATTATTTGTTAAGTTTAATAATTGAACTATATATCATATATATCAAAAAGTATCTTTGGAAAAATTATTTTTTTATTACATTTTATTAAAATTAAAATATAAAATATTTATTAATATGATGGCCAATATCGATTGATTAGATTCTTGCAAATTTACTAGAGAAATGTGTGAATTCATAAAAAATGGTCCAGCAAAAAGAGAGAGCTTACTTTCTCCTCTTGAAGCATTTTCTTATCAATTTGTTAATCTCTCGATTCTTTTTCCAAAATGACTCTCTCTATTTTTTTCACTTTTTCTTGATAATAACGATAATATAATGATTATTTATTTAATTAATATATATATTATAAAATTTATCATAAATGTCTTAAATAATATTTCTTTTTTATTTAAATAAATATTTGTAAATAAAATTGTAAATGATACATATGAAATTTTTCAACATTGACTTTGAATATGTAATCTAAATATTTTATATGTAAATAATTATAATTTTATGACGTTTGAGAGATTAACAATTATGTCTCTTTATATCTATTAATATTATTCAAAGCAATATGATGCAATATAACATAAAATTATATGTTAGTATTAAAAAATATCTCGTTTATAATCTCTGATTTTAAATATCATTTTTATGCTTCTTCATAAACAAAAGGAAAAATCATCATATATTAAAAGATGATGTAAACTACAAAAATTTAGAATCATTAGAATTTGCTCTATAGGATTCTAAATTAGAATTCTAATAGTTTAGAAAATTATTTCCTGCAAAAGTGATTAAAATTACTATTAATATAGATACATCAATCTCGAATAATAAAATTAATAGATTTGATATATCATTGTATAAATTATAATTTTAAACTTTCAATCAATATCTGATATATATATATATATATGTTTAAAAAAAAATGCAATTATGGATGTCAAGATTAAGAATAATGATATGACTGCATAATATCTTATTCGCCTAATTTTATATTTATTTATAAATAAGATGTTATCTAATCTTTTATTATATAAATGGATAATGTTCAAATTTCTAAAAAAATTAAATTGATACGCATATATATTTTATTAATTAATTATCAATAAAATTAATTAGTAATTATGAATAATGATAATCATTAATAATAATTAAAAGAATTAAATAATAATACGTAAAAAATGATATTAAATAAATACATGATAGATGTGTTAAAATTATTGTTCGATAAATTGATAAATAATAATAATAATTAAATACTATGATAAAAATAAAATATAAATAATAAATTTTTTATATTATTATATTAATAATTAAAAGATTAAAAAATTACACTGAACTTATAATTTCGCAGAAAATTTGCAATATCTAGAAATAATAAGATTGTAAATGTAAATGAGATTACTTGTTCGTAATACGGTAAAAAAATATAAACGGATGAATAAATCCTCACGGGTGGATGGTTTATTAATTCCATCGCCTGGGAGCGAAAGAAAGATGAATATCATTTTACAACACCTTTATTATTTACATAATCTAAGAGGAAATATGAATCAGTCAAAAAAAAAAAAAAATTATTAACATGAATAAAGTAAAAAACTAATAAAAAGGAAAAAAATCGTTTATAATAATAATGATACATCATCTTTTTCGTTTTTGTAAAATGTAATTTCATTTTTATAAAAATAAAAAAATTTCTCGATTAACAACAAGTATATATTATAATACAAAGAAATAATATTTTTTATATATATTTTATATACATTTGTTATTTATGCACGTATTAAATAATTTACGTAACCAATCTATGAGAATATCATAAGAAGACAAATATTGGAAATTTATTTCTTATTTATTTAATTAATAATGTTCCAATAAAATTTAGAGATAGTGTTCTCAACATTTTTTTGTGATACAATTTCCTTTTATAAAAAAAAGTTAATTTTTCGAACAAGTGAACAATTTATATATCTAAATTTATTGCGCACTAGGGATCCTATACAAGAAACTATCCTATGTATAAGAAACTCGATAATCGAAGGAAAAATCTTTGCATGGTCCGAGATTCCATCTCGGGGACACGTGTCCCCCGTGAAGAAAGTCGTAAGCGTTCAGGTTTGTGCGGGATTTTTCTCATAATTTTAAGTTTCCCCGCGCGAGATGCAAGCAGGATACCTGCCCAATTCATGTTGTGGCCAAAAGGCATAATTCAACGTTGACAGTGGCTGTGGCCTAAATTCGAACAAGTGTTTCTAGCATAAGGAAACTTCCACGAAATCTCTAAGATTTTTTTGACCTGTGAAACTGAAAAAAAAAAAGGAAAGAAAAAAAAAGATCGAAAAGATTTTCCCTCGTTAGTTTCTTTCGTTGTATTATTTTTTCTTTCTTTCTTTTCTCTTTCTGTCTTTACAATTCTTTTTTTAGATAAACGACAAATACGGTATGGACAGTTTGATCTTGGTTTTATTTCCAAAAAAATTAAAAGTCAAGTCGCCTACTTGAAATTGTCACATTATGGTAGCGTAGTTTGAATTTCAAGACTCTAGAAATCTTTGTTTGGCTATCCTTGTTAAAAAGCCCGAGCTATAGTGTAAGAAACAGGAAATGAATTTATTATGAAAATTGTCTGTGAAATCTTGCAGATATAATCATTAATTTGATGTTTGTTTTTTTAAATAAAAATAGAACGATTTAAATAAAAAAAAAATATGTTTATTCGATATAAAAATATTTGCAAATTTTTTAAATCTTATTTTAATATTAAATTATTTTTAAATAATTTACTTATCAAGTGTTGATAATTTTAAAAATAATAAAGAATAAAATATTATTTAAAGTAAATATACGTCTAAATTTATAAAAGAATATAGGAACACAGCTAAATCTAAAAAAAAAGATTTTTTGAGAAACGATTGTATTTTAGTAGTAAAATCAAAAAATAATCGGTGCTAAATAAAATAACGAATATTAAATATAATTTACTTAATAATAAATACATTATCATTCAAATAATAAAAGTAAACAAATAATAAATAATAAAAATTTTATCTGACAATATTTAAAATATCCTATACGTACGTATACGTGATTACGTGTTCGTGGTGTAACAGCATGGTTCAAACTCAAGCCGCTACGTGTATACCGCTTGACAACATAACTGACATAGTGGTTAGAGAGGAGAACCTAGCCTTAACCGTGAGTCGAGTCTATCATAAACCAGTATGCGGACACGTAGTATCTACGTACTTATGTTTATTGGAGAACCGTGCGTGCAATTGTGGCGAATTGTACAGGTGTTATAGACCTGTATGATATAGAAGTTGTGCATTTTTCGTATCTGTTTAATTTTACATAGTTGAAATTCATAAATTTATTCTCTATGTAATTTTCTTTCTTTTTTTTTTTTTGTCAATATTCTCCTTTTCTAACTTTTTCAATACCAAAGAATCATAAATTTCACGTTTAAAAAATATCTATAAATCAACTAAATCTTAATAAGACAACCGATTTCTATCCGAATCGTTTTGTCAATTACCTTCAACAAAAACGAGGGCAAGTTCGCAGAGATCGTCGCGTCGTGTGAATGAAAAACTTGCACTGCGCACGCGCAATCGCATTTGCACGCGTTGCCGCAAGAAGGAAAAAAAAATGTATGAAAAATATCAAGCAACTGGTAGGAAAAGATTGTACATACACGAGAAAGAGGATGGAAAAAAGAAAGAGGAACAGAGACGACACGATCAGGATAAAACACGTCTCCGTTAAAAAGAGACGCGAACGCGATGAGGGTGGGAACCGGTACGAGGAGAAGGGCAAGGGGTGTCTCGCACGCTTCAGCACACGTACGATACTCCGTTACGCGCATGCGCCATCCCGCGAGCGGTTTCCATCTCCAACAGGCCACCGACGGGCCCCGCGCATTGCTAAAGCGACCAAATAATCTGGATGGGTTGTATACTATGCGAGGTGCGTTTAGTGGGAGAAGGAGGGCCTGCCGACCGAGCAATAAAGTGGGGATTAAATCTGCCCGCGGTGGGGATGAAGCTCGGGGCCCGGCCTAGCGAAGAGGCAACGGAGTCTCAGTCGTTCACCAGAGGTCGGTCGTTCATGTATGCCACTCGATCTGCGGCCTCTGTCCAGGATAACTGTAAATCCGTGACAAAGAAAGAGAGAGAGAGAGACAGTAAAGAAAGGAAGAGATAGAGTAAAAGACAGACCTTGGACTGACCGCGAACATAGTAGCTAATCGATCTCTGAACTTCGCGAACGTTATGTATAATCGTAAACAGTGGCTATTGGAACAGTGATCGACGAAAGAAAAACTTCGCTTTGTTAATATTGTTAATATTGTTAATTAATATCCGTTTCATCGCGAATTTCTTTTCTTTTTTTTTTTCTTTTTTTTTTTTTTCTCTCTCGAAATGAATTTTTTAATAGGGAATACTATGCCTAACTTGTATTCGGACCATTGACATTGGACGAACACTTGGGATTCCGTTCGTTACCGAAAGTGATAAAACGTTTGCCGGCAAAAACGGACAGTGATTGGCTGATTACCAACTTCTAAAAGACTCGAGTCAAGTGATTATTTGTGCGATTGATGGTTCTGAAGAATGCTATTGAAATCGGACGTGGGAATGGTGGCGTGAAACAACAAGGCAAAAGTCACGTTAGCACGCGTAAACGTACGTCAGGATGCCAAAAATCTTCCTGATCAAAAATCGGCTGCATCAGCAGCAACTGAGGTTGCTGGAAGCGCAGCACCTTGGAAAAAGCCCGCCACCCTGTAGTGGTAAAGAAAGTCCTCTTGGCAGTGCCGAACCTCTCAGTCTTATTGTGAATAAACATCAATGTTAAGTTTTTTTTTTTTTTTAGTATTAATTAAATATTTTCAACAACCAAGAGAATTTTCTAGATTACCATAAAGAGAAATATACTATTATTTCGATCAAACGTTTCACCATCAAGTAATTTACTTTGGATTAGAGAATAAAGGATAAAAAATTTTTCTTTTTCAAATCTTTTTTTCGCATCTTATTTTAACGGAGAAATTATTTTTAAAGTACAGTACAGTACATAGATCATAAATGATCCAGAATCATTAGTTAGTATTATCCATCAGTTGATGTTTTCGATGTATAATGATCCATAAATTATTCGAAATGTTATCAATCTCTCGTCATTCTAAAATATATTTCGATGCACTATGGAATAACAGATTCAGAAGATCGAAGATTAAATCAGATTTAATTTCACAATTCGTATGGTTTGAAAATTTTATAATATAAATTAACAAAATAATTTCGTAAATCAGTATAAGTAAGTAAGAAGAGATATTTTTTTCGTGAAAAATTATAACAATTTACCAGCCTGTGATAAGAAGATTCTCTGCAAAGATTGTAAAGCCGGTTTCGGCCGGTTCATTAAAATTCTCTGTTTCCTTCGACTTGGTAAGACTCCTTTCTTGCACTTGACTGTCCTAAGAAAGAAAAGAAAAAAAAAAAAAATAGCGCGCGCGAGAATATTTTAGGCCAGCCTGCAGGTGCAAACAAGAATCGTGTGCACAGGTGCCGTTGCAATTTAGAAGTGCATTTGCAAATTTGATTTGTAACGCTCATAGGATAACGTCATTATCCTTTAGCGTTTTATATAACGTGTCATTGTTCCATTGATCTATTGCATTAACGTCCGGGAATTTGAATTTTTTTCAATGTTTAATGTTTCACCGTTTGTGAAAGAAAAATTGAAGGAAAAACGCGTCCTGAAATTCACAAAATTAATAATAATTTCGTGTTTGAGAGAAAAAGGTAAAGAAAAAGAATTGTAGATTATGTAATAAGTTATGATGTGACGTTTGTCAATCAACGGATCATTTCTTTTTTTAAACATCATCGGTCAACGGTATATAACGCATAACGATGTGTAAATAAGTTTTTCACTTATGGCATAACGTTATTTCTACTAAGAAATGAATTTTTTTATTCATTTCATTTTTTATCATTTCTATAATCTTCAATTCGATCATTTAAAGCGAATCCTTTTTTTTTTTTTTTTTTTATCATCGTACGTCATGAAAATATAAATAACAAATGGGAAGGAACTATTCGATATTTTAAATTCCAAGTTCAAAATGAATTTAGATTACGTATCTGATAAATGTGTGATGATAATGTCATTTTAACATCATTCCTTCATGAAAATACGTATAATGGATAAAAGATGGACAAAATTAGTCGGTATTTTGAATTTCCAATGTTCAAAATCGGAGGCTGATTTTTAGGTTATGTAATTCATTGAAAGACAGGTTAATTGAGTGTTTAGCCTGAGGCGCCTATTCGAAGGCATAACGCGCGATGGTAGTCTGACGCGATTCTTTTACAACGGTATAGTGAGTAGACAGAACGATGAAGTTGGTCCTAAACTGGTTTAGAAAAATGACTCGAACCGGTTCCTCGTTTTTCGTCGCCCCTTCCATTTTTTTTTTTTCTTCTTCTTTCTCTATTGCCGCGGACACGGTCGATCGTTTCGAGAGCTCGATGTCGATGGCCTCGTATCGATTATCACGAACCGCAGGTGCAAATTTACTTTCCCACAACGTTAACTCATTAACTCGTCTCGTACTATCAATTAAAACGTACGAAACTCGAAAATTTACGTTTTTATTTTTGAAAAAAAAAGAAAAAAAAATAACTTTTAACAACAATCGAAAAGAATTGGACTATTCGACGAGTTTTATTTAGGCAAATGCGCGCGCATGATTCTCGATTATCGCTCGATAAACGGAATAGCTAAACCGTTTCGACAATAAATAGCAATTATCAGCATCCATCGCGCAGCTGTAAATTTGCAAGCTGCTGTATGCCTTTGATGAAATACTAATTTAATGGAATAATAAAGACTAGTCAGATAAGATTGGGATGAGATAAGCAGACGTTCGTTATTTTATTATGTGATAATTTATTATGTTAATTTATCGGCGTTTAATCAGAATCTTTAGGATTCCTTTTTTTTTCATATTTAATTACCGGTCATTAACCAACGTCAACTATAGCACATGCGACGAAATATATATTCGACTATAGTTGAAATAGTTCACGTCGCATACTGTAGAGTTTCTGTATCCGATTATAGTCAACATTCGTATAATTTAGTATTAAGTGCTCAATCTATTGTTGACTGATGTGATTGTTTAATCACGTGAAAAAAGAACTGTAACGCTTTTATTATTTTTCCGTTTTGCAATATTTCAAGATAGATATTAACATTACGATAAAAAATCACGTGTTCCAAGTTATTTAAAAAAATTAATGGAATTCTAACGCATTATAAATTGCTGAAAATAAAATTATTACATATTTTTTTAGAAAATAAAATAATAATTGTTTCTCTTCGCAACTCAAAGCATTTATTTATCCGTGCAAGGGCTACGAATATTTCAACTTTTTAGGTAAAAAGCATTATAAGTAGAAAATGATTATAGTTAACGAAGATGGGATTGAAAATATTTCAAGAAATTTATGTGTATTGCCTCGGTGTTAAATTATGCCTCCTCGCTTCATTGAGTTTAAAGGACTTCTCCTTTAATGGTGGGGATGAGCTTTTGGAAACATATAACGTTTCAGCATAAGAAGTAAGGAAAAAAGAATATTTTAAACCTGTCCCTCGCGTTAATGTATTACCATTTATGTGACTAAAAATGATTAAAACAATATATATATACACAATGTAAGAAAATTATACGTATTAGGATACGCGATAAATCCATTCGTTTTACAAAAAAAAAATTCATTTTAAATTGAAATTTATTTCGAGTAGATTATAAAAGAATCACGCAGATCAATTATCGATGATACAATGCAATTGTTCCACCTTCGTAGCGCTACATCGATGTCCCGTTAACAGTGCAAGATAAAGAATCCATTGAATATTAATAATTGAGAATAAAGTCTACGTAACTTTGTATCCAGATTTATTGCGTCTATTCATTAGACGAGATTCAATAATTTATCGAAGCGACAATCTTGGCTGATACATCGACATTGCGCGCCCGCGAAAGTAATCGTTTCGCATTCAATTTTTCCTGCGTACACGTTCGTTATTTAGTAGCACAATATGTTCGACGCGGCGCTTCATACGCGGAGACATCGACGCCCGCATAAGCGAGACGCCGCGATACTTTTTTATGCGTTTCAACATTAGCATAATTTACCTGCATATCATACGCGAATAATGCGACATCGGTGATCATTCTATTTACTGTAATAATAATATTGCATATCCGACTAGTTTTTAAACATTTTTGAACTTTCTTGTTTTCAAACTTTACACATATGTCGTAGACACATCGTTTTTCAATTCTCGACGAATTTGCATAATTTTCGATTATTTTAGAATTATAAAAAAAAAAAAGGAAGATTTTCTTTTCCAATTTTTCGAAATTTCAATTTCCTTTCTGATAATTCTAATAATTCAATATCATCCCAGTAATAATTATCATAAGATTTCACAGTATCAGATCTACAAATTATCTACAAAGTGACATTTAACTTATCAATAGAATAAAATGAATTTCAAAAACGATTTTATTTAAACAATTTCAAGTTCAAAAGGTATATCTACTCATCGAGAATAATTGTTTTTGACGCCCGTTTTATTCATTACGATTCAATTTGGTCACGCATGCGTTACGCGATATTGCGCAACCCTCGCGCCCGTTACAATAAGAATTTTCAAGTTTCGCACGGTTCTCGTGCATATTGCGCAACAACAGAGTTGAGAACGCCTCACGATCGTCAATGTCTTCTTGTATGTAATTCCACGACGGCCAAGGCGAGCCTCGTGTACCGACGCATAGAAGAATCCTGTGTCGGGTCGGGGAAACAGATTGGGGGGGGGAGGGAGAAAGAGGGAGGGAGGGGGGACAGAAGGACGTCGTAGCGCTGGTTTCGCAGTCGTAAATAGAAAAGTGACCGAGAGGAACGAACACATTCCACGAATCATAGAATTATTCTTATCGAGCGTTTCTTACTTGTGAGAAGATTTATCGTCGGCCACTGAAACTATGAGATGGACGATAAAGGAAATGGCGTTCGTGAAGATATTACTTACATTCTCGCTTATGAATCATTGGGATCGGAATCGCTTGAAATTAATGGAATGATTTTTAATGATTTTTAATATGGGCAAATTATTTTATATAAAATTCTTATTCTTTAATATACATGTGTAATATTATGCATATAAATCATTGAACGAAATATTTTTGTTGCAAATTATCATTTATTGTAATCAAATATTGTTCCGTTTGTGTCCGAAGCGTGTAGGTAATATCGGATGATTTATAGATGTGAGCATTAAATTGATATGAATTCAATATCTAATTTTTTTTTTTTTTTTTTTAAATTACGTATATTTAAAATATTGGCAGTTCGAGTGATTCATTCTTTCTACGAAACAAATGTATTCTAAAAAAATTAAATTAACATTACTTTATTATAGTTCGTTTTGTAATTTAATTTTCAAAAATCATAGAAATCTTTTACTCTTTGAAAAACTGGGAGAAAATCAAATATAATCAAAATATTTAATTTAAACACTTTGCATATTAACGAAAGGTATCATTAATGTATTAATGATTCTATCTAGAAAGCAAATTTTTTTATCAATTATCAATGTGTCCATTTGTAATTGTGTTGAATAATGAAATGAAAAATAATTTTAACGGTATTATTTCATCGATGAATTTTTTTTACAAGAAAATATAACTAAAGGAAAAGAGCTGGAAGAAACGTGGCCTTCTGCTACTTTTGAACGAAGTTTTGAACCGCGGTTTAAAATTTAAAATTGTGTCGC